CGCAACCAAGCGCAGCAACCAAGGCGTAAATGCCTTTTAGCAGGGCGCTGAAGAGCTATGCTACCAGCACCCTATCCCAGCCGCAGCACCGCGGCACACCCGCAGCAGGGGATGGGTGGTGTGGCCGTCTAGGGACCTCAGCCCACCGGCGACCCCGTCCCATGGCCGGCGCCTCAAATGGCAGTAGGAGAGAAGTTGAGAGATGGTCAGCATATTCAGTAACAGGCCATCAGGAGCAAGCAATTAAGGTGTGCCACACAGAGAAACAAATATGGCAGGTCTAAACCAACCAAAAATCCCAGTAGCTATTTTTCCAACCATCTATTATTGGAAAGATCATTTCCTGCAAAGCATCCTTAAAGATCCTTGAACAGATTTCCTAAGAAAAATGCAAGTAAATTATTAACCAAGTCTAACATCTAACAATTTTCTCATTGAATTTTGCTACTAGTTATTAAAGCAAACAATTTTCAAAATTCTTCCAAATGCAAGATCTGCACTGCTGTCAAAATGTCAGTGTCTGTGTTTTAACACAGATATTAAGTGGGTCACTCATTAAAGCATAACACTCTAGAAAAGCAAGGAATCAGTCTACAGAAATTCCAAATAATCTTCATTATTAAGCAAGTATATATTACCGGAGCAGTTATCGAAGACTTGTACCCTTAGAGCAAGCATAAGGTGCTGGCAGAATAACAACATCCACAGATCAAGTAAGAACAGAAATATAATTAGTTCAAGGTTCTAATCTTAATTATAAATAACTAATAGATGGCTTCAGAATTGAGAGCTTTCACTCCTGGTAATTTTTTAATGAGCAATTTAGGCATCTGCCATACCAGTCAGCAAATGGTTACGAAAGCATACACTTTAGCACTGTGGTGTCCTCATTTCACGTAGTTACATTTACAATGTTTACCAATGAGAATCACTGAAAGGCTTTCACGTAGAGAAAGGAATAAGTCCAAACAGAAAGGAGAATGAATTAAAACTTTGGGGGATTGAAACCATTCCTTTCGTTTTGAATTATTGCTCTTACACACAGTTTAGCCAACTGACCCATATGCAGAAATAGGCAAATACTACAAGGAAGGCATCTTTTTCTCACACATTTACTGGACAAGACAGAAATCAGGCCACACCCTAAGTCTCCTCAGATTCACCTTTCTCACGGTGCTGGAGCCCCATTTCTACTGTAGAGGTGCCAAAGAATGAGAGAACATTTCTGCGCCACATACACACTGAAACACTAAGCTCCTACCATACCTCATATACTACTGCTGATTATACAAAGATTTCTCATCTGGATTCTTTTTTCTGCTTACAATTATGGCCTAAGGCACAATTTAAAAAATATTTATATATACATATAAATACAAACCGAAAATTCAGACTAAATACACCCCCGCAAAATTTGTATGCGGTACTAGATAGGTCTTTGCTGTTTACCTTCTGGGCACTGACAGCTGAATCCATTGATGTTGGATGAGCAGGTACCTCCATTTTGGCATGGCTGCTGGACGCAATGATCAATCTCTGACTGGCATAGCTCTCCGGTGTAACCTACAAAACAGCACGCAACAGTCAGAAAATATAGCGAAAACGAGGTGTTATCACTAAATGTATTACTAGGGCATTCAAAGAGTACCATTAGTTTTCTTGAATAAAATTAACCAAAGTAAGAAATAGAATCCAGGACAGTCTTCTAATTACTTATAAAATGGGATTTTTAATTAGAACTTATACTTCACTGGAGAAACATAAATAAGTAGTGGAAATCTAGAGATTATATCAATTGTATTTTACCAGCAGCAATATTCTGACAGCACTAGTATAATGGACGTTGGTGCTGGGTCCTCATCAGCACCCATATAACCAAAAAAGAAGTCATTTTTGAACGGCTTTCAAACGCATCTTGAATCTCAAGTCAATAATCTTTAGCAAGACTTTAAACAAGACTTGACATTATGAATTATTTGTGCATATGCTGAATGACTGTCATTTGCTCCTACTTCTGGGCTTCAAAAGGAGTGTTTGTTTTAAGTGGGAGCTGTGAAGAACTGCTCAGCACAGTTGCTAACTCTTCCAAATAAGCTCCTATAAGTTCACAAGCTACAGATTGTGTGTACTGTACTATTTGACCATAAGTTTGCTTTGTTCCATATGTCTGATGTCTATAACACATCCCCAAAAAATGAACAAACTTACAAAATACAATCTAAATGATGAAAGACTCCAAACTTAAATTCCTTAACAAATACCACACATTCCCCTTTCTAATTTTTATTTACCTCCAAGAAACTATCTTGGATGCATGACTGAAGAAGAAACTACACACAGAAACATTTTATTTTTTAGAAGGAGCCCTCCATAAAATTGTAAATATCTTCCATAACAAGCATGCTTAACACAACGGCTGGTGTTAAAGACCAGTAAGCTATGACTAGGTGACACTGTTAATACACTGCTATCGACAGGTATCCAAGACAAAGACCCCGAGGTGAGATAGAGGACGTGCCTGGACTAGGATTTTGCTTATGTAGGGGAGAAAAAGGAAAAAGAAAGGAAAAGAAAAAAATATTCTTATTTTGATCAAATAATTCTTTTTAATGAAATCAAAATTAACATTTATAAGTCTTTTGGGCAGGCTAATACTTATGCCTGTTCAAATCTATCGATGTCACCATAAAATAGCTCTCAACATAGATTGTTATATTTGGAGTTGCTAGAGCACTGCTATAGAAGAGGATGTATAAGACTTTCCTCTCTGTGTACCTTACTGCTTTTATATGCTACAGAGAGCTAAACTATGATCCCATTTTCTGCAATGCAAAACCTGGAAAAAGAAACTTTGTTGTATGTTGTATCTGGATTAATGCCCATAAATCACCTAAACTGGAGAAAAATAATGAGGTTGAAAACCAGAACTGTGCTCTTGTGAGGTAGCTCCTCTGGACAGGATTGAGGCACTTGGAGGGATGTCAGCCTCGCTCTGGATAACTAGCGATATTCTGTAATTGTAATCGGTCTCAAATTAACATAAAACTTACAAAAACAGCAATGAAGTATTATAGAAGACTACATCAACTGATTTTTTTCATCTATAGGCTTCATATTTTTTCAAGTCCTCACATTCAGCTGATTATTTTTATGAATCATAATACAGCATTGAATATGCTTAACTCATTTAAATATTTTTCCATCTTCAAACTGTTACCAAGTTTGCGAAAGCTAAAAATTACACTGGAATTCAACGTGTATCCAAAAGAATGTTGGCATTGAAAGGCAGAAACCATTGTGCTGCTCTGAAGCTTGCTACAAGAATCTGACTTCCTGCAATCGTCACTATAGCTTGCGGGAAAACTCAGAGATAATATTTGTTGTCAGCTTTATGAAGATAAATATGTCCCATCTTATTATTATCTATAGGGAATGCTTTGTCCATCTGAAAGAGAATACGATTCGGGAATTTCATAGCAAATATGTCGCAAGCGCTACAAATTAAGAGGTGCTAAGCAATCACCGTGGCGGGGGGGAAGCAGTTTCCTGGTGAGATAGACTTTAAGAATCATTACACGTATTCATTTTGTGCTGATACTTATTTCCATAACGTTTCCTTCTATCAAGATTTGGGAAACATGATCCTGTTCACATACAAATGTTTCTGAAACTTGCATATGGAGACATTTACGATAATTAAACTCTTCTTTACCATTTTCTTTAATATTTTTCCATATGCGATGAATATTTTTTAGAAATTCATAATTATATGAAAACAACTAGTTTTCCTGACTATTTTTTGATGTGTGGGCACAAATTTGGGGGGGAAAAATTATGCGTAGAAACAGAAGCCACTTATGTTAACAATGATTAACCCATCTGAACATTAGACATTTGCTATTAAAAAAAATAAGGAAAATTATTATAAAAAACTTAAAAGCTAAACCTAAACATAAGTGTTGAGGCCATAAAGCACACCTTGCAAGTTCCAGAGTGTAATAAATGAAGTTAACTATATTTGGCTTACTGAGGATTTACAGAGGGACTTGATCACGCTGTCATTCAGAAGCCTTCACATATTTCATATGCCTTCACATATGGAAACCAAATAACTTCATTCCATCTATTGTAAGCTTTGTTTTATACCATGAGAAGCAGGAGGAGTTTTGTAGAAGGAAATATTTAGAATTTTTAATTTTCTCTCCCCCCCCCCCCCCCCGGAGCTAACAATTGTTCTAGAGACAAGGAGAAGAAACAATTATGAAAATAGCAAGGCATAAATTATATTTTAGAGAAATAGTTTTTAAAGGGAGAGGATAAAATCCAAAGTTAAAAGACAATAAAGACGTCAACGGAAATATCTTATATTTCCAGAATATGTAAGAGAAATACATTTTGTTCAAGACATTGTCATTATTTTAGTCATTATTTCCTGGCATCTCATGGTATCAATTTTTCTACAGTCGTGTTAACACTTTCTGAAGCAAGCAATTGAAATGCCTGTCCGTTATAGGGAGCTTTTAAAGAAAATGGAGAGGCCAAATTTTAAAAAAATAAGGACTCGATGCAGATATCTGGGATCATAGAAACCAAAAAAACCCTTAGGATTCTATATTATTACGCAAATAAAACAACATTTGCTTTATCAAGGCACTATCATTTGTAACTCCACAGTAGAAGGAGGAAATACCACAGACATGATCTGAATGTAACAACGGCAGTAACGCTCACCTTTGGAGTCTTGTACGTAAGTAGGAAGTATATTTATGTTACTCTGCAAAAAACTTCACTGTACAGCTTCAAAATACTAAGTTTTCCTAGTGGAAACACTCTTAGGCTTTACAATAAGCACATCAGAATTATCATAAATATTCCCCCTAAAGCTTTTTTACACAACTAAACCCAAGAATTCTGAAGTATGTGAAAAATATTTTTTATTCAAATTATATGCTGATAAAAATTCTGTTTTCATGAAATTCGGCAGGGTTTTTTTAGAATCATTCCTGTCTTTCTTCTGAGGTAGGGAATTTGAAAAAAGAATAGAACTTGATGTAGAACATTTTCCAAAATACCTAAGTCGATAAAAGTAAAAAACCGACAAACATAACAAATACATTTTTTCTTTTCTAATTAGAAACTACTTGTCAAAATCCAAAAGAATTCTGAATCAACCATATTCAACATGACAGTAACGGTAGGGATCGTTCAAACATTTGAAGTTTGTTCCACTCTGACCTTTCTCTTCTCAAATTTAAATCGTTATTCCACTGTATTTACATATCCTGTTAAAGTGACAGTAGATCCTTTGGCAAATTTATGAAATAGAATAGAGTACACGTGGATACTAACGTACTTTCAGAGCAGTATAAAACCAGGTCATTATCTAAAAATCCAAACATAAATCCTTTTCTTGTTGCACATTTGCTATAGTGACTTTCAGCAAAGAGAGAAAAAGCGGAAGTCCTAGAGGCAGAAAAAGTATAATTAAAAAGAAACGTCTCGGCCTTTGGAGAGAATGAAGGGGCCGTAATAATTTGCCATTGCTGATTTTCTGAACTGCAACGTTCACGAAACAGTGCAGAGGGGAGCACATGGCAGCCACATCAAAGCATCACTTGCATCCACCTGCTTCTGGCTCAGTCACTTTTCAGGCTGGTACTTCCACATAATCTAGAGCAGCTAGAAGTTTCTCTAGTCTGCGCTGACACGTGTAGGGTAAGGAATAAGAATATTCCCATCTTTAAGGGAATATAAGAACACCCACTCCATGACCCCGCTTTGGGGCAGAATAAAGGAAGTATTGCTACCTGTACCTTTTATATACATTTAATGCACACAAATACCCACCCAGCATTAAAGCCATTCAATAACCATTTAGACACAACCACTAGAAACCTGACCAAATCATTCACTTCTCCATCTGCTTTTTACGATATAGCTTTTATATTCTTCAGATCTTAAGGCCTATTCTGGACGCATCTTCCTTTTTCTTTTCTTTTCTTTTTTTCCTTCAGATAAGTCCCCTTTCTCTCTACCTCTAATATCAACTGACCGGTAAATGATCTCATAATTTATTGGCCAATACATTACAGAAATGAAAATGTGCAGTAAAATGTTTGTAGAAAGCAAAATAAATTACGTCCTACTGATCTTAATCTTAGCCAACTTTTATTTTTAAATAATTTCAGAAAATACACATTGAAGTAACTGTTCTATTATGATAATTGAGTTTGTCTTTAAAATGTAAGGTTCAGTTAGCAGTGTTCTATAACAGCCATTTTGTAAGGTTCTTCCATCAGCGTGTATGTTTAATTTACCCTCCAGCATATGACCATTGTATTTAGTTTAATTTTTATTTCAATTAAGACGTCTATATTCATTTGATCAAATTTTGAAAGCAAATGTTCTTAAAATAACTTCAGAGAACTCAGACACTTGTTCATTAATCAAACCCACAAATTACTCAGATTAGTTTGTGCATTTTTAAAAAGTTTTCAAAATTTAAGTTGATTCTGAGGAACAATCCAACAACCGCATAGTGGGGAGAGAATTTTCTTCCATTCCATTAGGGGAACTGAAGAAAAGAGTTTCCTACTTACAATGAAAGCATGTTTATTGAAAGGTTCATTATCATGCATACTTAAAATCTATATTGAAAAGAAAAAAAACGGATTAAGAAAAAGCTGATGTAAACTAAATTTTGGTCATCTTTTCTTAGTACGTAAAGTTCTATTAGTTATGAATAATTCACTCATTAGGTTATGGTTCGGACGTGTGCTTTCAATGGCATTGTTCACAGGTGAAGAATCTTCCAGAGCCTTTTAAAAACTGCCCTTAACATTGTTTTTGTATTTTCCTCCTTTCCTAGTATCTGAGGTTGCACAGTTCACTGCTCTGCAAAAGATACGCACCGAATGTTAAAACAAAAATGCATTACTCGAAGCGTAATACAAAACCCTACCAGCCCGACAGCTGCAGGTGAAATTGTTCCCCTCGTGTTTCTGTGCTACGTCGGTGCAGGTTGCGTTGTTCTGACAGGGCTGGCTCTGACACGCATCAAATTCTTCGCACAGGGAACCCCGATACTCATCCTCACAGTCGCAGAAAAAAGTTGCCTGAAAACAAACAGGATATGCACTTCACAATGAATTTGCAAAGATCATGTTTTCATTGAACACTGAACAAAGATGTTTTTGTTGTTTTCCTGTTCATAACAGCAGTAGCTGCCATAAATACATCAACTGCATAAAGTTACTCTTTGAAATACTAAACCTGCACCAATTCTTCAGCTAAAATTTTTAACGATGTCAGGGAATTTCATCTAGATGAGGAGGCTGGGATCAGATCCATAATGTCTAAATCACTATAAATTTTGTTCTTCCATTCCAGAAATTACATTTACAGACTGGAATAATTGTCAGAATAAGTCACGTGCAGATTTACCGCAACAAAATCCTACTACAAAGATGCACCCTTCATGTGAGGGGCAGGGCCGGGGTCCCGGAGGCTCACTTCAGTGGTGCTTCAGTAGGGACACACCCCTTCAATTCTGTTAAAATAGGTCTTCTTCTGAACGTATTTGTTGCTTTCTCCAAACCTTGCCGCTTAATAAAAGATCAAGAACACTACACCTGTTAAAGATCTTAAATACCTACAGTAGGCATGACATGGCACATTTTTGTTAGTAATAAAATAATTAAGATGAGAGTAAAAAAAAATGTTTAGGCCACTAACATTGCCAAGGAAGTCTCAAAGAATGGCAGCAAGGAAAGCTTTCTCATCTGTAGTATACATTTAGGTTAAATATCCTATTTTCTTTGTTCATTAAACACTAGATGGCAACATCACTCACTCTCATATGTTTCAAAGCCAGATCATGAGGGCTGGAATGCAGCTGTCCCGTGCACAAACATTGTAATGCAAAGTACAGAATGTGCATGGAACTAGAAACAAAGAGATGGGGTTAGTATTTTATCTTCCCTTTTTCACTTGGGTTTGCTTCATATGAATAAACAGCTGTGGCCTAAGTAGAAAAGAAAATAATCGTCTTCATACAAATAAAAAACTTTACCCAGTAAAACCCAGATTTCATTCTTCCTTAAAAATATTACACTGGTAGAGTTTAAACAAGGATTAATACTATACATCTCCAAAACTCAAAATGATGGGTATGTTATTTATCTGGAGTGCCAGAAGTCCCCGCTAAGTGTACGGTCTATACATGTTCTGATATTTGCCCAAGCCTCTTCACAAAACAGCTCTGAATATCTCACACATCAGCAATGACAGGTTGTTGAACTACAAGGCTGTAGAGTTCAACAGAAGGGAAAGACAGGAAGCAAAACACAGTCAAAAATTATTGTAATCAGGTAGCACAGTAGCTTACTTTGAAGATAATTCATGAGCTACACCGTGAAGCGGCTAACAGAGTGAAACAGATAATCACCTTTATTTAAGAACTAAACAATTAACTAAACACACAGTAAGTATTTCCACATTTCCATATAGCATTGGTGGAAAACACATCAGCACCGGGATCACTTTGGTCCCTAAAGACAACAGTGATCAGTGGTTCAAAGTTAGTGTTGTCCTCAACGTCTCATACCATCTGGGTCACACATATATAGGATCCGGACCCAGGTAAAGAGTGCACATAAACATGTTGCCTGCAGCATCCTTCACAGCTGTTCTAACTCTTACTGATACTAAATTATGTTATTGACTTAAAGTGGTTTTCATCGTTCCTGGAATGGAGTGTTGAGTTTAGACTTAATACAAAATCAAGGTTGCTGCCTGTCGCAGTAGCTCACCTGTTCTGGATGAACAAAGTGAGATACCATACTATGAAAAAAAACTGCATTTTTTTTTCTTAAAATAGACTTGAATAGAGCACGGGGAAAGATACAGGCACTGTACCTAGATTCTGTACCCTGTTTGAAGAGATCAGAGTCTTGATCTCATTTAAATGTGTTTCTGGTCCTTGCGTGTGCACTGAAAATGAGAACAGGCTTATCTACGTCTACCTGATGCTGAAGACATCCCTAAACAAGAAAGCCCAGAAGTACACCATCCCATCAAAGTTAACTCTGTCAGAACAGAGAGGTACCATGTTTGTTAGGTAGGCTCAGGTTCATGGTTATTTTGTGCTAGATCTGAGAGTAAGATGCAAAGTACATCCCTACCTGACCCATTCATCGGAGAGGAAGGGAACGTCTGCACTGCCCACGCAGACACAAACAGCGTGGCTCTGCCTGCGCTACAATCTCATTTCGAAGCAATGGAAGCTGATTATTATAATGTAAGTATTAATGTATTTAAACAGTGCAACAATCAGCCATTGCCTCAACAATACTAATGAAATAGGAAGCCAAGAAAAGCTCAGATAACATTGATATCTCTCTCGGAGTATGATATAGGGATCAATTTACCATAAAGTGTAGTTAACAAAATGGGTTTTGAAAGCAGAAAAGCATTGTAACACTTCAAACTGAAATGTCTAATGACAGATAACAGTTCTGAGATGCAGACAAGTTATTCTATAGAGAAGATTAGGTGTCATCATTTCTATTAGGCATGTCACCTTCACTTTTCCCAAATGATACTATTAATTTTTTTCCTGAATAGATGACATGTACTAGCATATTTGGGGAAAACTAAGTGAAGAAGAAACTACACGCTGCCATAATGCTAGTGTTAAAGTCACTATCTAGGAATTCCAAAACAATCTACTATCAATAGACAGTTCATCGGTGTATTTTACTTGATTATGGGAGTGCAAATCTACCATATATCAATTTGGATGGCGATAAAATAAATTCTTTAAAATAATTTGTTATTACCCAATCCAATTGTCTGTAAGTATCATATTATAAATAGAGTTGGAATATAGTACTTTTTTTCCTATTTTAAGTAAGCAGAGTAATAACGTGCTCATCAGATTCTAAATTTCAGACTAGAGAGACCATAAAAGGTTGCCTTTTTGCTTTTTTTAAAACTATAATAAAGAAGCTGTTAAGATGACCAGAACAAAACAAATGTCTACTCTCTCTTGCAGAGAAAGAATTTCAGTATTTATTACAACTCACAGTGAGTTGCTGTAATATTTGAGCAAAACATTGGTGTATGATAATTGCATCTTTTGTATTTAGGAGTATATTTTACTTAGGAAACTAAGTCCATATGCAGAAAAGCATGCCTTTAGGTATACATGAGGCTTTTTTATAATTAACCTTTCTACAAATATAATCAAGTGGATCTACCTCAAAGCTTCTAGCCCATATAGAAGACATGGAAATCATTGCTATTCAGTTCAATACGTTATTTCTCGGTGCAGGCAGAGGCCAGTTATTTTTGTGTAAATCTCAAGGGTTCTAATTCTAGCAATAAAATTTCATATTTACACAGTCAGCTCTTCCATATTTTACATGGGAGAGCCAAAGTTACGGAACAGCACAATCTGTGAAAGAAATCATTTTATCCCCGTACGTAAGCAAAATTGTGGCTCTCAAATCCAACGGATGGCCAAAGTTCACTTTAAAATCCTACGCGGAATCGGAGATTCACACCAAACAAATCCCTCTCTTTGGGTTAATGCCAAGATTTTTCTCTTCCATTCACAGCTAACTGGTTTGTGGACAACTTATTCTAGTGTAAAACTGAGTATATAAACGTGAAAGCGGTATTTATATTGTGATAATGCCAAGACCAGTATTATCCTCCTGACACATTCCCGCTTCCATCGTGGAAGAACGGCAAGGCCAGCATGGCAGCAAAGCAGGGGTACAAAGCTCATGCAAAGGAAGGAAAAGGCACCGCTTTGACTCAGCATCACCTCACTTCACAGAACTTTGTTCAGAGTGGTGAATTTTGCGTTCCTTTCAAAAGCAACAATAATTGAAAAAGAAACTCTGCCATTAAAAGCTTTCCATTTCATATCCACGCTCTATAAAAAGCATCTAGCTGAGTAGAAGCTAAGTTATGTATCAGTAAGGAATGAGTAAAAGCTGGCCAAGACTTCCAGGTTAGACCAGAATTCATTTGTTTTCGGTTTTATGCACTCCATAGATAATAGTATGCCACTGCACTTACACCACTGCAGATTGTTAATTACATTTAACTTTCCCATTAAGCAGATGTGCTACTACATTCTTTTACATTAAACTGGATTTGGAATAAAACTATGAAGTACATCAAAACGCAAAGACAATCATTAATCTTCTTGGCACTGGAAGCAATGACTACAGCCAGCAGAGCTCTTTGCATAAAAGGCCTAGTACCATGAATAAGCTTTCTTCTAAGAAGTGGCTTTGCATCCCGCAAGACTAGATTGTGCAACACATAATGAATTATAGACAAAAACAAACAGCAAATCACAAAGGGCATGTTGTAAACCTGAAGAAAATTAAAGTTTCAGTTCTGCAAAAAGAAGCGCAGAAGATGCGTCCTGTGGGAAACGGACACAACGGTTGGTACATGTCAAGCATGTAATTTTGGTAGTCGTTTGCTCCATCGTTAGGGAAATCACCAAGACCTTTTAGGGCTTATCTCACCTAAAATGAGTTAAACAATAGCAAAAACACCCTGCTTTATGAAATATTCTATTTTTACCTATGTTGCTTATGCTGGGCCTGAATCAGATTCCTGGCTGAAGTGGTACAATGCAACTAATAGGCTAAAGCGTAAGGAAAACTGACAATTTTAAAAAAATGCTATGGACAAACAGACATCACGACATATTTATTCTCCCTGGAGTAGGAAGCTGGACATAAATAATCTACATTTGGAAACACTGTACCTGAGGTTTTAGTGAGTTACCCCAGCCCAGCAGGCTACCTGGCATAGGTTTGATGGCACTTGAGAGGATTACTGGGGACATTTCTCATTTGTTCAAGTTCTAGAAAATTCAGGAGCTCTTTGTGACGGTGAAAATAAAAGCAATTACATTTCTGAAGTTAAAATTTTATTTGAAGAAAAGAGATATTGACAATCCTGCTAATTCTAGTTCTCTGACTACCACGAATTGATAGACGCCTCTTCAGAAACAGGCTTCAACATGATTTCTACGTCCCACAGCTTCAGCCACAGGGGTGTCAGTCAACGACAGCCTGGTGCACGTTACATCAAAAACACTACCTTAATAAATTTTCCTGTTATTACTCTTGGGTTCAAAGAAAGAATAGGTGGAAAGATATGAACAATCCTAAATTTTTCTATTCATTTTCCAGGGAAAGCAACACACTACATGTGTATGAGAGGGGGTCATCTATCACTAACCCTTCTAGTTCTAACATATAAAACTTTCAGTGTCAAGATTACAGGGGGGGGACACAGGTACTGATTTCTCTTTTTTTGAGTGACATAATAGCTCCTCTTTCTTGCCATGAATCCCATTTGTCTTCCTTTTTAAAGATTATTTTATTTTACTTGCCACGTCTCAAAGATTTATAAAACACGGTAATTATTAAAGGCCATATATGCTTTTTCCTTAATACAGAAAAGCATTAATGCTTCTGCATAGATATAGGAGGTAATTTATTTTTATTTTGTGACATATGACATGCAATAAGAGAAAGAAATTAGAGTCATAAAAATGGACAAACAACATGAAAAAATAGAAAATAAGACTATTTATCAAAGGCTTTAACTCTCAACTTGACAAAAAATGGAAAAAGAAGACATTTTGATATGCTGTTATATATAGTAAATTTGAACATATTTACATAAATCAATTTCAAGATGTTGAATTTATAAAGTAAAAATTCAGGATGCTGAATTTATGAAGTAAAAATGTTAAATATAGTAAAGCAGAAAAACTAAACTGGACTATGAAATAGGACACTGTATCTAAATGAATAATTTATTTGGATACCAGCCAGCTGGTATGGTAGAGTAGCACTTACTTCTAGAAGCGTCTTGCAATAATTGTGTTCACACATTACCTCAAGCATTTTAAAATTTCATTTTTGAGAAATAAAGTAGATGTTTAATTTTTCCAGATGTTAGCACTGCAATGCATATATAGATTACTGTAGCAATTTAATTATTGTTGTTACAATTCAAAACGTCATTTTTCTATCAAACATGCTTATTGAGAATTTAAATCAGAAAATGGTAGCAGATGAACTAACAGTGAATTCCCTAAATATGCCAAATTTTCTGCGCTCACAGCAGGCTCACAGCTGTTAATATTTACTCAACAGTTACTATTGCTTTTATCTTCCAAATGAATATTAATAAAACCAAAGATTAATTGCGCATATTTGTGCTGTAAATGACTTTTAATCCATGAAATAAAATCAACACGTATAGAAGGTAACAGAGAGTACAGGACCTCATTCACAGAAGGCCAGTCTATTTCTGTAAAAGCAGTATACAGACTGCAAGTTTAACACATTTGGCTCTTATTTTCTCACGTTAGTAGATCGCACAAAAAATTCACAGCGGCCAGTGGAATTGCTGGCGCCCTTGTAATCTCTCAATGTAGTATTACGCACAGGAGGAAGCCGTACAGGAAAACTTCCAAACGTTACCAAATTACTGCATTCTGCTTCTTCTCATAATTATGCTCAGACAATTCCATCGCCCTGATCAGTGATTTCTGAGCAAGCAATTATTGAGACGTGGAGAGATAAGTGCTAGATTAAATCAGACCTAAAACCAAAAGAACGTTGAAGACTGTAACAAACTGGAACACGCTGGTCTGTAGACTGGGGATCCCACGTGCCCACCACGTGCTTCTCATCGCGCAAAGAAATAGTCTTGTATAGCGACAGTGAGATGCAGTACGCATTACCTTATACTTAATTTGAATAATTGTTTTTACTGCCGGGGCAGGGTATGAATCTTTGCATCTCCTATCAGTCATTTTCTTGCTTTTAAGTGCTTGATTTTTAGGAATAGCAAATAAATACATTATTATTTAGTAACATCTGTGAGCTTTTGAAGCCTATTACACAGCAGCAAGGTATGCACACACTCAGAGGACCAAGTACAATTTACACTGCGTTTATATTATCATGGAATTTCCACACTACAGGGAGGTCTTGATAAGTTCACCTTACCTCATCTGGTTTGGTGATACATTTTCCTTTCCCCGAACACTGGAAGTTATCTGAATGGCTTCCCACAGGCATGCAGGTACTGACTTTCACTATCACAGTCAAGCGTAGAGCCACAATGCATTTAGTAACCGAATCATTCAAAAAACCTTAAAAAAAAAAAAATTATTCTTACTACATAAGAAAATAGGCTAATACATATTAACACTCTACTGCTAGACAAATAAATAAAACTAAATTGAAAGAAACTGTGAACTAAGAACATCATTGCTCATATTTCATACACGCCTATCTAAATTTAATGCATGTAAACACAAATTAGGATATAGTTTGGAAACAACCACTCATTATATTGATTAACAAAAGGCAGGCAGGCTGGTGAAACAGATCTACCTCCAGAGCTCTAATCTGCTATCATTTTTCAGGTCTCTAATAATCAAATGCTTTTGCCTGCTATCTTTTTGATAAGGTAAAAAAATATTTCCTTAAGTTTTTTAATGACAAGGAATATTAAAATCAAATTCAGTGGAGAAAAATGTTTAAATTCATTTCTCAAAGTTACTTCGGAGCCAAAAAGCATACAGATCATAAACTGCAATACGCTGGTAACAGATGGACAATCCCTTTGGCTGCATTTTTTATGAAGTTTGCAAGAACAGACATACACAGCTTGACAGCATTTCTTTGTATATTTACAATACAAGTATTATTAAACATCTGATCTGATCACTCTATAAGGTGACATACCAGGTATAGACGAACAAAACATGAAAATGGGAACATTTGACAAGGAAGACGAAAATTCATGAATCTCTGGCTAGCACCTGTAATTGCATGGAATTAAAAAAATGGTTGGTCGGAAGCTATTAAAGCATACTGGAGCATAACGACATCCCTATCACCCATATTTCTAACAGATACACCTGGAAAATAAAATAAAGGACAGCAGGAAAGATAAAATGAGGCACATACAGAGCCCGTGACATACACAATTAAGTCAGAGTTCATGTCAAAATACATATAGCCTGCTCCTATCCTTCACTTGTGCTCGAACTGCATTGTTCCACCACAGCGATTAGACTCCGGGGTTACAGCCCTTCCGTGTGTGGCATCAGTTAGGTGCTCTGTTCTGGGAGCTTGTGGCAGAATAAATGTGCAGTGACATAAAAGGCCTGGGTTTGGTATAGTGTATACACTGTATGCAGAATATATGCATTAAAAAACCCCAAAGATCCTTGATAAATTGTCAAACTTAAATTTGACTTCACTATCTTTAATGTAGGTAGACTCCTAAGGGTCTAAGACTGTTTGTAGTATCAGAATGGAAAGTTACAGACATAGAACCATTGCAGGATTATACTTTTCTTTAGACATTAATAGAGAGAGAATTTAAGTAAAAACGGATGCTTTTTTAAATCTAAATATCCTTAATGTTAAAAAGAATGGCTGTAAATGGATGCAGGAAGTATATGACATAGAATGTTTTTTCTAAAATCCTAGAATCCATTTACAGCCTAAACCTCAAAGGTACTTCAAAGATGCAGTCCAGCTTCTTGCATTACAGAATGGAGATAGCACAATATTTAGTCAAGTAGAAAAGAATTAGTACAAGATAATATTTATAATGAGCAGTAATAAACCAAAGTTTCAGGAAACACTCTGAACTTCAAGTAAATTCTCTTTCCAGAACAGCTGCTAAACATTACTTACATTCTGCATATGAAAGTGTCAAGCATGACTAATTCTACAAATGCCACAGAAAATCATATTGAAGATTTCCATTCTTTGTTCTTCATTTTTCAACTTCCCTTTTTAAAATGCTGCATCCTTGGAACAATTACTTGTTTATGCTAGAAACAATGATCCCTGAACCATAACTTCAAAGCAGAAAAACCTCATGTCCAATACAGATGTCATCAGCTTGAGTATAGCCTCTGCAAGTTAGCTAAATATTCTAAAAGATCAGATTAAAAAAAAAAAAAAAAATTTATTGACTATAGTTCCAAATGTCTAATGATCTGTTTTGGCTAGTGAAGATTATTGTAATCTGGTGACCTCTTCAAAGCAAGCCAATTTATTCTGCCCTTAATACACATCCCATTTTTACCCACCTGTTCAAAGTTGCAGCCAGAATTATTTCCTTTACCAATTGAATGCGATTGTCACTGGCAGCCATGCAATTATACGTGAATGCTTGGAAGAATGTGGTATTTAGAAAATGTCTTTGGGTTCACATTTGCTTGTCTGAAGCCGATTGTTACATATTCTTCAGGACAGTTCACTAAAGGAATATTAAATCAAACTTCTTTGTACTTTTCAATCTTGTTACTATTTCGGTATCAAAAGCCCTTAGGCAAACCACTGAAAAAAATCATTATTCTCACTGGAATGCCACACATGTTCCTGTCATTTCTAATTATCTCATCTAATTTCCAAAGACTAGAAGAATGAAAACACGGCTATTTATTTTCACTCTATAGAAGTTGCATACAACTTTCCGAGATCTCTAGGTTTTAAGGCTAGAAGAAGCTTGTCTGATCATCTAAATATGACTCTGCTCAACTCAGGTCATAGCACTTCAATTAATTCCTTCTCCAATTCCCATAACAGCAACTGAACTAGAGTGAGTTTTAAGTTCTATTCTTAACTTCTAGGTAGGAGAATAATTTCAGAAGCATGTTTACAGCTCCCTTCATCTAAGGTCTGGAGAAAAACATTTCCGCTGTTTATATCAAAAAGGTAGTTTTGTTCAGTTTAACCTTGCTGGTTTTCCAAAGCTAGTTAAAACATCATGACATCAGAGCATTTTAAGTTGAAGAATTCAGGGTTGAGCTATTTACAATAATATTACAGAAACAATTTTAAAGCCTAATATATCACAATATGATGTGAGTAGTCATTTAGATTGCAGAGGAGGCGTTTTCAAGCTCTGTGCACACACATTTGATAGTCTGAGAAATGCCTGCATGATTTCATTGGCAGTACGTGTGGTAAAATACACTACAGCTCATTCCACCCTGGTAGCTTCACCTACTTACGCCTAGGAGCACAAAGTATGTATGCTCCTGTTTCTCTCACATCAAGAAAGCTAAGAATGAAAAATTAGGAATAAGTCAAAATAAAAGATGACAGGTGTCACCATTGTGTCCAGGTGCTTTCAGCAAGATCATATCGTGCCATTCAGATTACCACTACTCAAACGTTAATTGACTGTAGATTTCCTAGACTACACAAACTGATTTGCTTCCTTCGCAAGCCCCATTTCTGAACCTTCCTTCTGTGCACGGCAGAGTGAGGTCAGCAAGCTGGTCCATAGTGGACTGCCAAAATAAGGAAGACTGAAGCTAAGAGGCCACCAACTCAAAACATTATCCTACTGCATATTATGCTAATGGAAGGCATAAGACTGAACTACAAATCGTAACTAACTCTTGGTATGCACTCAATGCTATTACACGCACAAACACTTTTGCCTATTGCAACTGGCTCAAATGTATTTCTCTGTATTCCACACAGTGAATACATGTATTCCAACATATATTCACCTATGGTTGAAACAACAGATTGCCATTTTACAGCAGAAATACTGTAATAGTTGCCTACATTAAAGTTCCAATTCACAAAAGTATAGGTCTTTGAGTCCACCTAAACGTTTCTTGGTTGAGAGAGAATGTCTGCCGAGGGGTTTGGGCACTCACTTACAATGAAGCATCAGTCCCCAAGTTTTCAACTTATTTTTAGCCTGGTTTCCCAAGGAAATGAGACAGCAGTGGGATGTCTATCAGTTTCCATCTGTTCTCTTTTTCTCTCTCAACACTTTCCCACACCAAAAGCTTTTGGGGTCAGCAGCCAACTTAACATTTTGCAAAGCAGTGGAGTTCTCAAAGACACTAAGTGCCTACAGCTTCCCTGCACAGTATGTAGCCCCAGCACCAAGGGCATTTCCTACCATTCCATTTAGGAAACCAAAAAAGGGCCCCAGAATAAGGTGATGTCATTTCTCTGCCCCATTCCTGGCGTACAGTTCAGTCAGTTATTCATTATTTGGAAAATGGGAAACTGGGATATATACAAATGGAAGAAAACCAGATAATATCGGTCCTTCAGGAGCAAAGCAGTGGTATGGGGTGTGCCTGCACCAAACCTTCAGTTCATGTCATGTAGTAACACAACGAAGCTATAATACTTCCAGACCTGATTTCAGCTTCCAGAAACAATATGGCTGCTACCAGAGCATATTAAACCATCGTTTATAAGCCTTAGTGGTCCAGGATAGAAGCTACCTAAGTATCTCTGCTAGTTCATCCACAGATAATGGAAAGTTATAGAATCAACCTAAAGTGTAAAAGTTCCAAGAGGAATTTTCTGTTTGACCACATCTCTCACATCACAGGAGAAAATGTTATCCAGTGAGCTAAACAGGAGTGCTCAATATGCTCAACCTTTTCTTTTGCGGCCATTGAACTTCGCAGAGATAAGAATAATTTAAAGAAAGGAAGCTAGGAAAAAAAGAGAACCAAATTTTGATTACAGTACTCACCGGAAAAAAAGACAAAGGAAGACTTGAATTCTAGTCCTTTCTCCTAAATTATTTTATGTCCAAATTCTATCCAAAGATTATTTCATGTCCATAACACTCCCACTGTCCATGTATCATATGGTATAGCTAACATTCAAGACTATGAAGACCACCACAGGGGTCTATACTAATCACCACCATGCTGAAGTGCCTTTTTGGATCTAAGCATAAAGTACTAAATTCAGTTTAACTATACAAACCAATTTCCCTCTCCTATGGCATTGTATATTACAATCTCAAATAGTGGTTATTCATCTAGCAAATTTAAGAGAACTCAAGCCTTCCACTCATTCATGGAAGTCATGTTCAACTCATTTTAGAGACCTAACAAATGAAAAAGCATAACAAGATGTTCTCATGATACACTTGATTGTGAAAATTTACCTTTACCTGTTGAAATAGTAGAGGCGTGCTTTTGATTTGCAAGTAGACAATCATTTATCGCCTTTTCCATGACCCTAATGGTCAGGGTCATTAACGCCTATCAGTACCCTCAGGGCCCTGATGCTAATACTGTTCTACTGAATTTGAAAAAATGGGTCAGGAATCCTTTCCCAGTTTGCCTTAGGA